TGTTACATGCCCAGTTGGGCGATGTACGTATAAACCGAGGATCGGAATGTGATAAAAAGGACTGAATGGACAATGCGGTGCAAGTGGAATCTCAACAAGCAATGTGCATTCCGATACATACAAAATGGTGCTTTATAGCGCAGGGAAGCCTTCGGATACAAGTCCTGACCTGACCGGGACTGACCATTTTCACGTAGTACAAGATAGCGAAGCAGGATGCTAGAATACTAACGACTAGCCCAATCAATGTTTCGACGCAGACCAAACAAACGTCATGCTCATCACAAGGTGTGAAGGGGCCTGGCGCTATACACAGGAAAGAGGCGCCAGGTCCAGACATACACAAACGAAGAGGAGGGGATCAGACGAAGAAGAGGAAGGGGGAGATGGGAAAGTCGTCAACACCAAGTCTCATTACAAGTCCCAAATCCCTCTTCAATATGTCTGAAGTCCAATGTCGAGTCTGGATCCAAATGTCACCAAGCTCTCTCTCTCTCTCTTGTAGTCTGCTGATGCAGTGAAGTCAGATAGTGAGAGGGTGAGAAGGAGATGGTGGACTGAGAAGAGGAAGAAGAAGAACTCTCTCTCTCATGTGTTAGGTACTAACCTGTGAAGATGGTGCTGTGCTGCAGGTACCTCGAAGACGAAGCTGGAGCAACGGTGCTGCAGGTAAGTATCCCTGGCCTCCGCCCAATCTCTCTCTCTCTAGTACTACTCTAGCTATGGCGCCCAGCGCTGAAGACTACAGCTAACGCTACTAGCGCCCAGCGCTGAAGACTACTGCTAACGCTACAACTACTCCTGCAACGCTCCTCCAGAGTGCTGCTGCCGAATCCTGAAGACTACTGACTGCCTCCTGCCTACCCGTCAAGTGCATGGGAAGTCCCTATGTACTACCTCGGCCTGCCTCCTGACTGCCTCCGACTGCCTTCAGTTGCAGGGCGGGCAGTCCAGGAGGCTGCTCTTGCCAATGCCAAACTGAGCCAGGGCCTGGTGCTGCAGCTGTCGTGGGAACAGGCCAAAAATAGCCTGTTCCTAAAACCCTGGTTTGGTGCTTGAGTTTCAGGGCAGGCCGGTCTGATGAAAGACCGAAAATGGCCCTTTGTTTCAGGCTAAAAAGGCTACTGCCATTAGTCTGAAACGACACAGGGTCTGTAGCCCCTGTTTTTCAGGCTTTCGAGCTGAACAGACACGGGGCCTGTAGGCCCTGGTTTTCAGGCTTTCAGCCTGAGGGATGCAGGGCCTGGAAAATGGCCCTCGTGTGCAGGCGCAGCATGTAACAGAGAGAGAGAGAGAGAGAGAGAGAGAGAGAGAGAGAGAGAGAGAGAGAGAGAGAGAGAGAGAGATCATTTGATGATTTTGTGGGGAAAGGGGGGACATCGCACCACGTGGCTGTGCCATGTGACATAATTTATTTTGAGTTTCCTTGTGTGTGTGTGTGTGTGTGTGTGTGTGCGTGTGTGTGTGTGTGTGTGTGTGTGTGAGAGAGAGAGAGAGGGAGATCATTTGATGATTTTGTTCACCAGCCTTTAGGCTTCCAGGGACTGGTTTGGATTCCCATTTGTCATTTTCCATCTGATCATCAGGAAAAGGGACATTCGTCTGTTGTGTGCTTTGTGTGCTTATCGCTGTGGTTCCATTGTGAGAAGGGGCCATAGAGTAGATTCAGTAAATTGAAATGTTTTGCTGAGAGAGAGTTCATTTGATGTTGTTGTTCACCAGCCTTTAGGCTTCCAGGGACTTGTGTGGATTCCCATTTGTCATTTTCCATCTGATCTTTGTTTGTCAGGAAAAGGGACATTCTTCTGTTGTGTGCTTTGTCTGCTTATCGCTGTGGTTCCATTGTGAGAAGGGGCTATACAATAGATTCGGTAAATTGAAATGTTTTGCTGCACAGCAGCTAGATTGTCAATGATATGGTACCCTTCCATTGAGCGATCAGCTGGTGTATAATTGCTGTCCTGCCTGTTTGCTCGTCCGTTTCTTGCAGGTTGTATGCATTCGATGTGCACTGCAACTCTTTCTTTCCCCTTTTCATTCAACTCTACGGTACGTTGACGACAGTCGATCAAGTTGAATAAGAATATTTCATCTTAAGTCCTGCAATTGTGTAGTCTCTTAGATCCTAGTACTATGAAGTGAAAGGATTTCACTGCTGCGGTCGTGGTCCTACTCCCAGCTCCAGTCCCAATTCCCAGTTCCATCATCAGTCATGGTCGTGTGTACCATATTCACGAATTCCCAGGTAGGTTTGTGTTAGTAGGCCGCTTTAGGAAGTTTCCGGTAGGTACTGGTAGGGGTTGCAGTATTTGTAGAAGTTGGTAGTTTTCTTTGTCAGCCAGTCAAGTCAGCAGCAAAGTCCCAGGAAAGTCTGTAAAATTTGGGAAGCAGCAACCATTGGTAGGTTATGGGACCCATAACTGGTAGAGGAGGTCCAGAAGGCGAATCATGAAGTGTAAAAAGTCCATTTGTTGAAGCCGTCAGCACACATTCACTTGCGGGTCCATGCAGAACTGCTGCTGTGCTTTTTGGGGATACTGCAAAGTGCTGCACTATTTTGGGATACTGCGAAGTGCTGCACTATTTTGGGATACTGCGAAGTGCACTGCTTGGTAGTTGTTGTGGCAGTCAACGGCACTGGGCGCGATGGTGAGTGCATAGGATGTGTTGTGAGGGAGAGAGGAAGGGGGGGGGGGAGATGTATTGAGAGAGATGAGACCTTGGACTGAGAGAGAGAGAGCGCCCATAGCTTCCTGGTGGCCACAACCAAAACTCTTGTACAAGTTTTGCATAATTGAGTTCATTGGCGGATACTATTTCTGAGTTACATCACACTCATGCTTTTTGATGTGTGTGTGTGTCATCCGGTGTCAGCATGGTGTGCAGGTGTCGTTTATGGTTGGTCTCAAAGCAGAAAGCTCTAGATCCTATTACTATGAAACCATTCTTGCCTGGCTTTAGAATGTGCTGATTTGGTCTTTTGCTTGGATGAAAGTCCTCATGGTGGAACTATAACACACTTCCATTCCTAAGACACTTCCATTCCCGCCCCCCAAAAAAGACACTTCCATCCATTTTGTAGAGTTCCTTCCAAATTGTGTGAGGAGGGTAAACGCAGGAAGACTCTCCGCAAATGCATCTGAGTTTCTCCTTCCCAGTGCTCGCACAGTCACTTGCTTTTGCGGAAACCCCTGGTAACCTGCTTTTCGAGCCTCAAGTTAAAGAGCCTTGAGTGCTGCCCACTCTACTCAGTGACTGAAGAACATTCAAAAATTCTGGTTGCAACTGCCCAGCCGCTACCATCTTCACCCGAATAAAATGCCCGGTCATTAAAGCTATATTTGGTGCACCTTTCATTCCAGATACAGCTATAATGACGGGGTGTTGTATTCAGGTGAAGACAGTAGTGATTTCTCATTTTTCTTTTTTATGGGTTGGTGAGAACTTGCAAACATGCAAGAAGCCTCTGCATCACAATTGGTTAGCCCCCTGAAAGCCGTTGGATGCAATTCTAGAAAGGGTGCAACCAGAGGCAGATTCTTCATGGGTAGGCTCGGATTCTTTTGTCTCTGAAACTGACGTCATGCTCACTCTTGTAATTTCCTCAATTTATCTGACAACGATTATGGGTAGATCCGGTCAACTAAGGTCAATTGCAAGTATGTTTGTAGGGTGTCGTTGGCCCGAATGTAACAGATGATTTGTGTAGACTCGCTGGCTGTGCCGTATTGATCTGGTGCAATTCTCATCAGCCAAGGTCGCAATTCCAGCACTTCAACTTCCGGTGATGGTGATGGCAATGATTTTTATTTCCTCTTTAGGTTTGTCCCTGGAACCAGTCATGTCTGCCAGCATGATGATGATGGTTTATCCTACATATCACACATTATTTGTGCATCGTTTGGAACAAATTCCATCTACCCATATCATCTATCACGTCCTCCCATCCATCCGATCCATCCTATCCATCCCATCCATCCCATCTATCCCATTGTATCCTGTTCCGTCCATCACATCCATACAATTCATCCCATCGATCCCATCTATCCCATCTATCCCATCCATTCGTTCACTCCGTCCCTCCGTCCTCCGTTCGTCCTCCGTTCGTCCATCCGTCCGTCCGTCCGTCCATCCCTCGTCCTCCCTCCTCCTTCTCTCCCTCCCTCTCTAACTCAGTCACTCGTCCGCCCATCCATTTTGCTGTTCTGCTGTGCTCCTCGAAATCAGCGCAAAGACGCTATGACTTCATCCTAGAAGTTCCTTGCACACTGCTGTCCACACTCCCTCCCTCCCTCCCTCCCTTCCTCCCTACTACCGTCTGGCCGTCCATCTGTCCGTCCCTCCTTCCCAAGTTTTGCTGCTCTGCTGTACTTCTCCGAATCAACGCAAAGACACTATGACTTCATCATATAGGATCTGATGAAATCATGGCGTCTTTGCTTTGATTTCGAGAAGCACAGAAGAATACCAAAACTTGGGAGGGAGGGACGGACAGATGGATGGATGGAGGGAGTGTGGAAAGCAGTGTGCAAAGAATTTCCGCAATGAGCATTCTCAAAAGATCACGAGAAAGTGCTGCTGAGTCTGTGCTGACCAAGTGTGCAAAGTTGTATGCATGCTCATTGCAGCTGCTGTCAGGGATGACTTGAACTGAAACTAAAGCTGAACGGAAATGACGCGAATGAACTGGACATGGAAAAAAAGAAAAATGAACCTGAAAGAAAAAAGTTGAACCTGAAAAGAAAAGTGAACCTGAAAGGAAAAAAACGAACCTGACGAACAGAAGCTGGAACTGCAAAATTGAACTAAACGGAACTGAACTGAAGCCAATAACACAGAGCTTATGATGGAAATTGTTTTTTTTTGAGATGAGAAAGCTTATCGGAAGGCTGTTGCTGGTGATGATGCTGATTGGATTTTCTGTTGTTGTTGTGTGCATTTTTTGCGTGGTGGTCTGATGCAGTTCTTCAGTACTTCCTTTCTCCTTTGCTTCTAGCACCAGGGTTCATTCCTGCCCTTCTGTCCAATCTTTTGTACGCCACAGCCTTTTGTTACTACCATTATGTCAGCTTTCTCGGCTATGATGGTACGTACACTTGGTCCGGGACCACGGTCTTGCTTTTTGTGTCACGTAATGACAACAGTTTTCCAGTCATGAATGTGATAGCAGACACACCTCTGTTCGCGCACGTCCCTTCCGTGCACCCGTTTCATTTTTTTCTTTTCTTTTCTTTTTTATGGGTCCTACTCATTATGAAACTCCCTCTCAACCTTCCTCTCTTGTCATTTCTTCTGGTGCACCCCTACTCTCAGTGTCCCAGGAATATCACCCTTGTACCATCTTAGTGGGGGCGACCTGACCGGACAACGGTTGCAGGCATCGGGGCTGAGCAGGGCCTCCTGCTGAGCTCCGATTGAAGCATAGTCAGATGAGCGCTGTTGTACGGGTACGTGGAACGGTTAAGCGTGGACGTTCTTTCTGCAAGTCCCATAGTTGCACCCTTCCGGTCCCCCGAACTTATCCAGGCTCCCCAGTGTATGAATCTAACGGTACACCCTAGATATTACAGGCAGTGTCTAATGGCCCCCTTTAGCCAAGGTCTAACATGATMCCCTCTGAGTAACCTGGGTGTACGCACCTCGCACCGCCATTATCGATATTTCTAGTTGTGTTGTTCGTCGTATGTACTGCTGTTGTTCCGCTTGCGACCTAGAGGTTCTAGCCTATTCCCAGTCGATGTACGGCCTGAGACGTCCCCTACACCCCTCTCTGATTACTCTTTTTGTGTGGTTGTGCTGTGGTCGTCCTGGTTGTGGTTGGTCGTATGCCATCTGGAGGTATCCTAGCTTCTGTCATTGGTAGGTCTATGGCCACCATCCGCCCCCATACCTTGGTCCTCAACAAGACCCCTCCAGCCTCTATAGTTGTATGTTGTCATAACCCAGAGCAGCCCTAGTTTCCGACATTAGTACGTGCTAGGCCACCATCCATTCCTGTTACGTCTGTCATCAACTACCGTCTTCACCCAAATAGAACTCCTGGTTATTATCGGGTCATCTGGACTGAAAGTTGCGCCACCCAAATAGAACGCCTGAATTATCGGGCCATCTGAACTGAAAGTTGCACCAAATACAGGGTGTTCTACCCGGGTGAAGATGGTAGGCCTATTCTGGTCTATTGCTCAACGTGGGAAGCAGACACCCCACCACTATCTATCCCTAAGACAGCCCCTACTACGTTTTACCCCTTGAGTCATCGACTAGAGCAGCACCAGTCTGGGTCATCGGTACGTACGAGGCCACCATCCGTTGCCCTTACGTCTGTCATCGAGTCGGCCAACTGTGGTCTATCCCCAGGAAAGAAGGCCCTACCTCAGGACTCTTCTGCCTCATCACTCCCACTAATGGGACCCCCCTATTCTATCCCACCTGCAGCCCTGCCCCCCACAACGCAAACCCCTAATGTAACCCACTACGTGATCAATCCCTACACTTATCGAAATCCCTAATGCGAGAAATCTCGCAGGCCGTCTGCCGCCCTACCGAGCCGACGGTCCGGGTCGTCGCAAGATCTTAAGATTTTAAGATTGTGCAATAATCCACGTCATCCGCGGTCCAACCGGGCCACGGCCAGGATCGAGGATGATCTGAAGATTTTAAGATTGTGCGATGATCTGGGCCGTTGGTCCAGTACTGGTTGCCCAACGGGCTAGATTAAAATCTCACACCCCAACAGAAGTTAGGGCCGCCAGGCCCAGGGAAAACCCGTTTCAGGCGGGCTGGTCCCCTATTGGGCGCAGCTTTTCAGCCCTTTTCCCTCACATATCTTTGGCAGCGCATAGTGGGTGGACACATGCACGCACTGTATAGCGGACAAAATAACACTCACATCGACGAGACAACATGCACTCACATCGACACCTGCCCGCCTGCCTGCACAAGCGCAAGCACACGCACAACACACAAACACACGCACAGACACATGCACATGCACGGACGCACACATCCACGCACACACACAAATGCTTCAAGGGAAGACTGTCGGGGTTCAACCTCCTGATGAGTTGGTGAAAGTCCAACGAAACAGTCTGGCACAGTCAAGCTTTCTTGGGAGTTGTGTGCATGCGCGCGCGCGCCAGAGAGAGAGAGAGATAGAGACCAAGCAGACTGTCGGGGTTCAACCTCCTGATGAGTTGGTGAAAGTCCAACGAAACATTCTGGCACAGTCAAGCTTTCTTGGGAGTTGTGCGCATGCGCACGCACACGCGCGCTAGAGAGAGAGAGAGAGAGAGAGAGAGAGAGAGAGAGAGAGAGAGAGAGAGAGAGAGAGAGAGAGAGAGACCAAGCACCCCACCATGACGGCGCTGGCTGATGGAAATGACGATGAAGACGGCAATGAAGACGACAATGAAGATGAAAAGCAAGGAGCATGATTTTGGACAAGGTAAGATGATAATGGCGACATGACGATGGGGCATGATAATCGGAATGGGTTCCGGAAGAGGAGGAAAATTTAATTGGGAGGGAGATGACAAAGTGAAGGACTCTGGGGAGGAATGCAACGGGGAGGGATCGGAGGACGTGGGGGAATAATGCAATACGGAGGGAGTTGAAACGGCTTTCACCTACAGCGGTGACAGATGCAGAACCCAGGGCTCGACCCCTGGATCTAGTCCCCCTTACCCGTGTACAGTACCCGTTGACCTGTGTGTTTGAACCGACGACCTGTTTCCTGAAAGTTGTATGTTTGGCTACTGTATACAGTGCGGTCGCATGGGTTTGACCCGTAGACCTTAGTTTTAGTTGGTGTAGGGTCAGCGTAGGTCGTAGCTGCTGTAGTTTCGAAAGGTCAAGTCTAGAGTCTTCTAGACTAGTCTCACTGGCTCTTCGCAGGTCTTAGGAGTTTGTCCGCGGCTGAGTCATTGTTACATGCTGCGCCTGCAACAGGCTGCACGGGCCACTTTCAGGCCCGTGACGTTTCAGGCCAAAAGCCTGAAAACAAGGGCCTAAAGGCCCCGTGTCGTTTCAGTCTGAAAGCCTGGAAACAAGGGCCTACAGGCCCTGTGTCGTTTCAGCCTAAATCAGAGCCTTTCCGGTCCTGAGTCTTTTCAGCCTGAAACTGAGGGCCATTTTCATGCCCTCCTGAGTTCGCCCTGCCCTGAAACTCAGGCACCAGACCAGGGTTTCAGCTCAGGCCATTTTTGGCCTATTTTCAAGACAACCTTTGTTTGAGCTTCAACCCCAGGGTCTGGCACGTTTTGGCATTGGCAAGAGCAGCCTCCTGGACGGGCCAGCACTATATAAGACTGGCCCACCCTGCAGGCTGCAGGTAGTTCCTAGGTACTTCCCAGGCACTTCACGTGCAGTTCAGGAGGCAGGAGGTAGTCTTCAGGATGCGGCAGAAGTACTCTGGAGGAGTGCTGCAGCAGTAGTAGTAGCGTTAGCAGTAGTCTTCAGCGCTGGGCGTTAGTAGCGTTAGCTGTAGTCTTCAGCGCTGGGCGCCATAGCAGCTAGAGTAGTACTATAGAGAGAGAGATTGGGTGGAGGCCAAGGGGACTTACCTGCAGCGCCATCGCTCCAGCTTCGTCTTCGAGGTACCTGCAGCACAGCGCCACCTTCACAGGTTAGTACCTGGCATATGAGAGAGAGAGAGTTCTTCTTCTTCCTGTTCTCAGTCCACCATCTCCCTCTCACCCTCTCGTTATCTGACTTCACTGCATCAGCAGACTATGAGAGAGCGAGAGGGACAGCTTGCTGACATTTCGATCCAGACTCGACATTGGACTTCAGACATTTTGACGAGGGATTATTTGCGACTTGTAACGAGACTTGGTGTTGACAACTTTCCCATCTCTCCCCTCCCGTCTGATCCTCTCCTCTTCGTCTGTGCATGAACTGGACCTGGTGCCTCTTCCTGTGTATAGCGCCAGGCTCCCTTCACACCGTGTGGTGAGAATGATGTATGTTTGGTCTGCGTTGTAACATTGATTGGGCCAGTCATTAGTATTCTAGTATTCTGCTGCCCTATCTTGTACTACGTGAAAGAGGTCAGTCCCGGTCAGGTCAGGACTTGTATCTAAGTCTTCCACTGCGCTGTAAAGCACCACTCCGTATCTATCAGGATGTACACTGCTTGTTGAGATTTCACTTGCACTGCATTGTCCATTCAGTCTTTTTCATCACATTGCAGATCCTTGGTTTATATGTACATCGCCCAACTGGGCATGTAACATCAGCGAGGGGAAGTCCTAGCACAGTCAGCAAAGGGCAGTCCCAGTCCTACCTGGTCCGGTCAGCGGTACCCAGACCCAAGGTGCACTTTGTCTAGTCAGCAAGTACCAGGCGGAACTGTGCACATCGCGGGCCTGGGGTCCAAGGGCAGACTAAAACGGCGATCCGAAGTATAAATAAAGAGGCAGCGTCAAGTCATTTGTTCATTCTGCCTGTGAGCCGTACGGAAGTGCTGTCGGAGCATTTTGTGCTACGGAGGTCTGCAGGTGCCCGGGGAAGAAGAGGGCTAATAGGAGGAAGACGCTGTGATGAGCTCTTTTCTGATAAGCGCCATATTCTGCGCAACTGGGATTGGGGGTACGTGGAGGGGGGGGGGGTTCGGGGATAAATTGCATGGCAGTCCCTCGTTCTTGGTTTTCTCCTTGGTCCCTCGACTGAAGTCTGTCTTTTTGGCGCGGCAATCACACAGGGAATTCCTTCGGAATTTTTGAATTGGGATGAGCCCACGCGGGTTCCCGGAATTCCTTTTTGCAATTAGGACCTTAATTAGACCAGGAAATTGGGTGCCTCGTAATTTTTGCCTGTAACTGCACATCGCTTTCTGCTTGCGCGCGCTTTGCTGCGACTGGGCCTGCGCTCTGTTCCCACCGCGCCTAAATTCCAATCTCAACTGTAATCTCTTCTTGCTCTTTCTTTGCCTACGCAGATGTAACTGTAATCTCTCCTTTCTTGATATTCTTTCCTGCGTAGCTTCGTGAGCTCTCCCTTCTTTATCTCATTGGCTAGATCGGTGCATGACTGGATCGAAGCGTGGAGTGAGGCTACGTCCCCCACGCCGCGACCCAGGCATGCAGCCGTGGGCACGGCCTCCTTTCTCCTATTCCTCTCTGGCAATCCCGGTTATTGCGCGCGGATGCACAAGCTATAAATTCTGCAAGCGCGATTAATTGGCTCTCAAATCTACTCGGGAGTTGGCGCGGTCGAGAGGATCGGCTAACGAGCAGAAAGACGGTGAGTAGAGAGTCGGGCAACCCGACGAGCTGGTGCTGGGTATGCGCGGTTGATGCGTGGCCACGAAGGACTGTGGCACCCGGGCAAGGCTGGCTTGCATGCTCAGGCCAAGTGGGGTGACGGCTCTGTATGGTTTGGAGGTGTGGGCCGACGGACTGCCCACACCAGAAGGGTGCACAGAGAGAGAGAGAGAGAGGAACGGGGATATGGTGGAACAATGCCTTTCTTCCCACCTTCTGTGAAATTTTGACTCCAATGTTGGCCAACTTTGTTGCGGCGGTTTCGGATTTCTTTGTCAATCATTTCGGATTCTCTGTTTTGTATGTATGTATGCATGCTGATGAACGAACTCGGATCTCCTTTCTCGAGTTGTTTCTGATTTCCAATTTTGTTCTGTTAGCCATCTGCGCTGCGTGCACAGCGATCCACGAGGTTTCGGTTCCCCAGGATCGGGCCGGATACGCCCGGTGCGCATGCCTTGCCTGACCACTTGCTCTTAGTTCATGCATGATTACAGGAATGATCTGATGTATTGGTCCTTAATGCTGGACAATCGCTTCTTTGCTGCATGATGGTATGGACACGTATGTAATGATTGGATCTCACTTGGAATGATGATGGTTGCATGAGAAGGATAATTGCATGCATACGGGATAGACTGACACACGGACAGAAGCGACCACCACCGGCTTATCCGCACGACAAGATAGGATCTGAGCAGTCTGCCTGCGCAAGCGCCCATGTATGACAGCAAGTCCGGCAGCGGAGTCTGCAACATACACGCGCGTTTGCGTAAGCCCAGCTGCGATATCGCTTCATCAGGAAATGAATGTAATTATCATCCATCGAGTAGGATATGGCAGTGGAAACTCCCTTTTGGGTCACCGACCGCGAGAGCCTAAGGAAAGAGTATCGGTCGTATTGGTAGAGGGAACAGCTTAGGCGACGACGAAACTCCCGTAATCCTGACTACCCCTGTCAGACTGAGAACGATTGACTGTGCGGGGGCGATTTCCAGTGGGCCATAAACCAGGATTCTCGGATTCCGGACTATCCCGGCACCTGCAATAGGCAGTATTATCTAACCCCAGGCTTCGTCGCAATTACTACCCGTTTTCCTCCCTATTATATCCTTCTCCCGTATCATCACCTAACGGTTGTCCCGTGGGACTCCATAGCTCGTTACTGGCCCCGCACACTGTGCCCGGAGTGCCAGCAATACAACGAGTATCACGAAGCAGGGTTCATCCGACGAACCCGCTCCGACGCAGAGCTTCGAGAACACAGTCTCCGACTACGACCGTCCTCATCAGACTCTGAGACGTGCATTGGCCAACGGCGGTACATGCGTTCTCAGAGAGATACTCATAGCATTCCGCCTGTACATCAAATACGTCCCCAGCCCAGGCCGCGAGATCGGCGATCGCCTCGATTCTGAGCTAAAATGAGACTCTTGCACTCCTACCCCTGAAACTTGACGCCGGAGATTCCAGTTCCGACCTTGGACTCCATCCCCGCTTTCCTAAAATCCTTGGCACACCCCTATTCGTACTTCCAGGCCCACTAACACTCCGAAACATGTCATCTAGTCCCTCCACTATATCCCTGCCTGCATCCAACTATCTCCATACGATGTGATCTGGCTTGTGTTACATGCCCAGTTGGGAGCTGTACATAAAAACCGAGGATCCGCAATGTGATAAAAAGGACTGAATGGACAATGCAGTGCAAGTAGAATCTCAACAAGCAACGTGCATTCTAATACATACAAAAGGTGCTGAATAGCGCAGGGAAGACTTAGATACAAAGCCTGACCTGACCAGGACTGACCTCATTCACATAGTATCAGATAGCGAAGCAGAATGCTAGAATGCTAATGACTAGCCCAATCAATGTTTGAATGCAGACCAAACATACATCGTATCCATCACCAGGTGTGAAGGAGCCTGGCGCTGTACACAGGAAGAAAGCGCCAGGTCCAGACATACACAGACGAAGAGGAGGGAATCAGACGAAAGGAGGGAGAGAGTTGGGAATGTCGTCAACACCAAGTCTTTGTCACAAGTCCCAAATAATCCCTCCTTGCAATGTCTGAAGTCCAAAAGTCGAGTCTGGATCCGATGTCACCAAGCTCTTTCTCTCTTCTCTCGTAGTCTGCAGATGCAGTGAAGTCAGATGATGAGAGGGGGAGAAGGGGATGGTGGACTGAGAAGAGGAAGAAGAAGAACTCTCTCTCTGTTACGAGCCAGATACTAACCTGTGATGTTGGCGCTGTGCTGCAGGTACCTCGAAGACGAAGCTGGAGCAACGGCGCTGCAGGTAAGTACCTCTGGCCTCCGCCCTATCTCTCTCTCTCTCTCTCTCTCTCTAGTGCTATCCTAGCTATGGCGCCCAGCGCTGGAGACTACAGCTACTGCGCCCAGCGCTGAAGACTAAAAGCTAACGCTACTACTACCCTGCAGCGCTCCCTCCAGAGTGCTGCTGCCGAATCCTGAAGACTACAACTGCCTCATGCCTCCCCGTGAAGTGTATGGGAAGTCCCTATGTACTACCTCGGCCTGCCTGAAGGGCGAGCCAGGCCGAGGAGGCTGCTCGTGCTAATGCCGAAGTGTGCCAGGGGCTGGCGCTGCAGCAGTTGCTTGAGGCTAGCCTGTTCCCGAAACCCTGGTTCTGTGCCTGAGTTTCAGGGCCGGTCGTTCTGATGAACGACTGAAAATGGCCCTTCGTTTCAGGCTAAAAAGGCTGTTGCCATTTTTAGTCTGAAACGACACAGGGACTGTAGGCCCCTGTTTTCAGGCTTCCGGGCTGAACAGTCACGAGGCCTGTAGGCCCTGGTTTTCAGGCTTTGAGCCTGAATTTCAGGCTTTCAGCCTGAGGGACGCAGGGCCTGGAAAATGGCCCTCGTGTGCAGGCGCAGCATGTAACACTTGCCTACATCCCAACTATCTCTGTACGACCTGATCTTTCTGGCCCGATTAGACTCAAAGCCTGAACTTTCCTATGGCTCAAACCCACTGAGCGATAGCAACAATTGGACTGTGCATATGGTACACCCGACTGAGGAACAAGTATGTGGGATGGCGAACAGCAAATCACCACACATAGACATCTTGGCTGATGTATTAAGTGTGACTGAGGCCTGGCCCCTCTGGCACTGTGTTTCTGTTTAGAAAAGTATGAAGCTTGCCATGTTTATGAGGGAGGCTATTGCTTTCCGAGCACAAGCATAGCACCAATTGGGCCTGCCCCTGACACTCAGTTTGATGTATTGAACCTCTGGCTTGTTGCTTTGTCCTATTCGTGCACAGTTGTCTACATGCATTGAATACACAGTTAGTTGTTCAACAGAAATGCACAGTTAGTTGCCCCTTTCAAATTTGAACCCCATTTATACCGCCTTGCCTCCTGCCAACTGACCGAAAAAAGATAGCCGAGGCTGCTTTTGGTGGGCACAGAAATCCCCACCGCCGAAGAAAAGACAAGACAATCCCAGACTTTTAACATGCCTGGGTTGACCTGGGCAGGCAATGGTGGCTATAGCTGCAATAGCCTCAGGTGTGATCTGTTGTCGTTCAGAATATGCAGTGTCTTTTATGTCAAGGCATACTGAGTGTTACTCACACTATAACTCTTCGACTGTTCTCTGGATGTACTTGAGGTTGGATGCATCCAGGATGGGCCGTAACTGTAGTTGGATATGTCGAGGAAAGTGCTACCATTTTTGGTCGTTATCGCTGTACCTAGACTGAAAGTTGCACCAAATACGGATATAATGACTGGGCGTTCTATTTGGGTGAAGACGTTAGTGTGAGCATGCCATTTAGTCTGGAGAGATCCCACCCAACAGCTTGAATGTCTGCTCAGCTGGTCCGCTTTTTTTGGGGAGGGGATGGTCAGCATTTTATTTATGTTGCTGACTGGGCAGACTGGCCACCATCTCGTCTTCGCGGCTCATCTCGCGTGATCTGCATCTAGTGTCTGGAGCTCGGTGTGATGATGTGTCAACCTGCTGCGGTGTGATAAGCAGTGTGAATTCATTTCTGGGTTGGTTCATTGGTTCAATGCAGTATGTTGCCTCTGTTTTTTTTTGTTGGACCAAGGGCGTACTCACACTGGTATCCGACTGCAATTATGACCAGACTCGAATGAATCTGACCGCAATCACGTCCAGAGCCTCTTTGTTAGATTAGGAAAACTCAGAAAAACACGAATGAAATGTACTGCCTGCTCAGCCTACTGACTATACATTGCCACTTTGGTTGGACTCAAAATGTTTGTCATTGTCGGCTGACAGTACTTCCGTTCCTGGAGCGAACTACTTTTTTCCTCTATCCAATTGGTGTGATCTTCATTGCTCTGCCAATCTGTAAGTGTAAACGGTGTAGTTATGGGATTTCTAAACATAATTGAATGATCAGGATTAAAAAACAAGTAATCGAATGATTTAAAAAAAAAATGATGTTTAAAGTTTTAAACTTTAAAGATGTCTTGCTCTACATATACAATATAGGCAAAGAGTGATTCAGGTCTTTTTCTTCTTTTTTTTTCTTTTCAACTTGGAATAGGGGTGTTACTTGAGGGAGTGATAGGAGCGCCTTCCTCAAGTGGGCCCCAGTGTGAAGGCTCCATCTATTGGTTTGGAGCAGCACCTTCCCGAAACCGGGTCCGCTGTCCCTTTGTCTACAGGCAATCTGTTTTTTTCAGCTCAAGTGGAATAAATGAAAGTCAGGGTGCAATTTATTGCTTTTTTTAAGTTTTTAAAAGTTTTTTGTAGTTTTAGAAGTCTATATATTTTTTAAATGTTATTTATTGTTCTTGTCGTCGAATCTGAATGAAATTTCAATGAATCATTTGCTCTGTTGTAAAGGATATTCACTACCATGAACTTAGTTATGAATGAAAAGAGCGTCTAATTCAAGTGTATTTTTAATTTGTTTTGAAACTCTAATGGAGTTCACGATGTTGTGGAATTGGTTCGAAACGAACCCATCTTTCAATCTCTCTCTCTCTCTCTCTCTCTCTCTCTGTGTCTCTCTCTGTCTGTCTGTCTCTCTCTCTCTCTCTCTCTCTCTCTCTCTCTCTCTCTCTCTCTCTCTCACTCTCTCAGTTCCCTCCTGTCGGTTGTACACTGGGGGGCAGCATATTCCGGGAAAGCAAAGCAGGTGCTTATCGTAGACGTCCCTGGATTTTCGTGAACGGTGCTGAATGGTGCTGAATTTTTGCAGGCGATGGTGGTTTTGTGCGAGGGACAGGGACACATTTTTCCTTTTTCTCCTGTTTTGGTTGAGTTGTACGTAGCTTCAATTAGGGCACTGCTCGAAGTATCTGTGGACGTGGTTGAGGGCAGGTGCATTCGTGATGTCCTCCTGCGAGTCTCAGATCTGTTTTGACAGGGGTTCTTCTTCTTTTCCGTTTTTGGTTGAGCTGTAGCATAGCATCACTCAGTTTGATTTCTCTTTTTTTCTGTTTTGGTCGAGTTGTAGATGGCGTCGTGTGGATGTGTTTTTTCTTTTTTCCCCTGCTAGCCTGGCATCGCATCACACGGGTGCGTTTTTCTTTGTTTTTCCCGTGTTTGGATTGAGGTGTACACAGCATAACGATGCCGACTTGCTTTCCTTTTCTTTGTCTTTGGTTTTCCCTGGCGATGCCGTAAGTTGTTTAGGAGTACAGGGCGTAGCGCCCTTCTAAACCACGAGGACATAGCCAACTTGAGAATCACGATTGACCCCCTCCAAAAATTTCAGGGCGTTGCGGGGAAGGCCGTTCAACATGTCATGTAACCTTGATTGGGAAAAAGAGGTTTAACCCACCAGTACTTCCGAGGTGCTTTTCTCCGGGGCTGGAAATGCCCTGTGCGCCGAAAAGAAATGAACGGGCACGTACCTCTTTTGGCTGGTGCCGCCAGCCATTTTGCTCCGGAGGCGAGCCCCGAAAGTTGCGCCTGCATGGCTGGGAGACGTACTGCTGGTTTAAGAGGTCCGACATCCGACACTGAAGGACTAACCGGTGTTTCCGGAGATGCGACGTAGTTTGACAGTGGAGGTGGGAGTGCGGAAAATCGGTGGTTGACATAGGGTGGAAGAGTTGAGTGGAAATCCTCCTGATGTGGACTGCGTGGCGGCAGTCGAAGCCGGTTGGGGTAGCCATAACCGCAGGCTTCACAATCTTGTCGACTGTTTTCTTCGTGATATTCATTCATTTGACTTTGTACGTCTTGTACCGTGTTTGCTTGGTGTTACAAAGTGATTATCACTGATGTATGCCGAGTCACATCCATCGATCAGACAACCTTGAGAGGCAGCGAGTGTTTCATCAATCACTAAAGGTGTGCACTGGTTTCAAGTACGTTGAACACGAACGGACGATGGGTTACCATTGATTGACACACCATTAGGCGGTATCACGTTTGGGGCTTTTCTGAGACAAAAGTCGACGTGGGTTGCCATTACCATACCATTAGGCAGTATTACATTGGGGCCTTAGACCTATTTTTAGCATGTGACTGTCCTTTTCTGTGTGGTGGATAGTGGGAGCGGGGCCCTTCCCGCGGAGATGGCTGGAGGCTCATCGGCTCTCGAAAACAGCTGATTGTCACCCTTGCGAATTGGGCCCAATGAATGAGCTGTTGTTTTTCCACAAAAAGAAAAGAAACCCCCCTCTGAACTATCTGGGGTTTGTTCTCACCAGCGGCGGTTGACTTTCTCAACGGTGGTCTCTCTACGATGTGTGGCAGCGGGTGATACCTCGCCGCCGTCCATGCCCTTTTTATCAAAGGGCCGATGATATTTCCAAAAGTTGGCAAATAAACGCACAATTTTTGCCCGTGTTACGATCCTGGCCAATTTCGAAGTATACATTCATCAGAAAGTACAATGCCGTTCAATTGCAAAAAGAAATGAATGAACTTGAGAGGAGAGAGATGGAAAGAAGAAGAAGAAGAAGTAAGAAAGAAGAAGAAGATGATGTCCTCCAGCATAGACCAAAGATAATGCTCTTCCTCTTCACCAACCAATCTCCTCCTCCCTTATTCAAACAAGAAATAACAATAATAATGTTGAATGGCTGAACCAGAATCAATGTCCGAATCCCACTTCTACTGCAGGCACCATATGAGGTCCACCATAGCCATGGCCACCCTTCTCCTTTCTCTCACATGTAGGCCGAGGCTATGGCGAACTACTAAGGACTCAACCCTCCTGTCCAAAGGACAACCCAAAGCAGCTATGTCGCTGCCTCCCTGTGCAAAGGACAACGCAAAGCAGCTCTGCCGCTGCTCACTAGGTCGCCATGCCTGTCTCTGCCCCGAGCTTCCTTGGTGCGGCACTACCCCAACGGGGGCCTTCCAGATGCAGCGCCTAACAAGGTGATGAAGATGATGTCCACCATAGCCAGGTAGGTACCTCGCCACTCTCCTCCTTGGTCCTCTTCTCCCTCCTCCTCCTACCGGTAGAGCTCCACCATAGGCAGGGTGGGAGCTCCCGGCTTCTTCCTCCCAGCATTGCTGTAGTACCCAGCGCTCCTCCAGCCAGCGCTTTAACAGTGTGTCGCCAAACTTGCACACTGAAGAATGAGGCCGGGCTCTTCCCTTGGCCTCTTGATATAGCGGCCTACTTGCCTACTGGGCCGTGACTTCCAGGCCGCTCGGCCTCCCAAGCAATTGGTACCTCCTCCCTTTCGGAGGGAAACATCATTGCAGACTCTGATATTGCCCGTACAGGCTGTAGACTCAGACTGGATGGACTGGTAACAGCCTAGACCTAGCCTACCGCTACTGGGCCTCTAAAAATGCCAACTTTGTCTTCTTCTGCTCGGCCTCGAGTACCCGGCACATCTCCTGCTGCTGGGTGCGGTACCGGCCTACCTGCTACTTGAGTGTTTTTCCGCTGCTCTAAGTGCCGTGCCGCGGGCCTCTGGCTCTGCCACTTGAGTGTTTTCCCCTGCTGCAACCCTCAATGCCACGGCCACAAGTAAGTACTGTCCCTACGGGCCTGCCAAACGAGCAAGTACCCTTGCGGGTCACACACACGCTCATGCCGACAATCACTCAGACAGGCACGCAGGTCAACAAGCATGCACACATACAGACTTAGAAAACTCAGCAGAACGCGGGAATCTCAGCAAGGCATCCATTCCATCGGCAGAACTTCAGAAATCAGTAGCGTTCTCAGTCTGTGTTATGGCGGGTCATTACACTACCACCCCCTCAAGAGCGAGGTCCCTTCGAGCAAGTAACTCAATCAGAGTCCCTGCATAATGCATCATAAGCGTAAATGGCAAAGAGAGATCGGGTATGTTCCGTAGGAGTGAGGGGAGCAGTAAATTTAGGTTGCTGTTCAGAGCTAATCAGTCGTTCATATGCGTTGACGATTTGTGGGCCACTCTGCTGCAAATCTCTTTCTTAGCAATCCAGTGAAAGTCGTTCAATGGATGATATAGAAAATGGACTTTGTATTGTCTGTTTCTCCCTTTTCCATTGTGCTCGACAATTCTATTAATCTCGTGACCGCCATTGATTGCGCAGGGATCATCGATTCTCGATATCGGAAAGTTTCGGGTGGTTCATACAGAAACAACTTCGACGCATGAAAGATTGGGTACGTGCACATATGAGGAGGCACGTCGATCGTGTAAGGACTGAATGAATCCTCCCGTATCTGGTTCAGTACTTTCCACGGCCTGTAATACTAAGGAAGAAGCTTTTGTGATACCCCTTCTTCTTCAGAAAGTTCAAACATTTTGACCCAGACATAGCTTCCCACTGTGAAAGTTTCAGGCTGGCGCTTTTTGTTAGCATGCTTAATCATGGCACTGTGTCGCCTTTCCATAGCTGCAAGAACAACTTTGGGCAAGCAATCAAACTTAGCGTTCTAGCCACGCTGGTCAGGTGTTAGGCCAGGTGGCGGATCAGGAAACAAGTAGGATAGGGGATTGCGAATCTGCCACCTGAGATGCAGCCGATTAGGTGTCATCCCGGTGGAGGAGTGTATGGAGTTGTTGTACAATCCTCAATTCCTCAGCCCAAGAGTTCTGATCAGGCACAATTAGAGCTCGGAGAAGTTGGATCACAGTCTGGTTGATCTCTTCTCTTCAGCCAGTCCATTGGCTTCGGGATGTCGGCCAGATGTCATCTTGAGTGTGGTGTCGTAGACCTGGGAGGTGAAGTCCTTCCAATCTGCACTTATGAACCTAGTGTCCTGGTCACTCACAAGAGTTTTCGGGGGCCCACACTGCAGAATGTACTTTTTGTGAAACTTTTTGATCACAAGGTCAGTTGCGGCGTGAGGTGGTAATGGGATCAGATTCAAAAATTTTGCAAAGTGGTCAACGATCACCATTACTTGTGAATATCCATTCCTGCTCTTCTTTCCCATGTCCGCAAACTCTATGGAAAGAGACTCACCCGGGCCATCAGGAATAGGAAGATGATGCAGCAGCCCATAGGGCTTTTGCCGAGACGGTTTGATGCGTTGACAAACTTCACACTCAACCACAAACTTTTGTGCCATTTCTTTCATCCCAGGCCGTACAAACTTTTGCAATAGACTTCCGTATGTCTTTTCAAAACCGAAGTGTCCACTCCGGCCATGAGCCATGAAGTGAGTACGGACAGGCTCATGGTTGGGTACACACAGTTGGTCGTACTTCTCGTAACGCTGGAAGAGTAAACCTTTACACTCATGGAAATCAGGCTGGCTGCTAGGGTCAGCTTGGACCTGCTCAAGGATGGGACTGAGTTTCTGGTCCTTGGCAGTATGCTCGATGAGTTCCTTCTTCAAAGTCTTACGGAGATCATAGGAACCCACAAGGCAAGTCATGTACTCAGGATGGCGAAATAAAGCATCCGCAATGAGATTGTAACAACCTTTCTTGTGCTTAAGTTCAAAATCATACACATCAATCTCATGCAGCCAGCGGGTCAATGTAGTTGATGGATTAATCTGCGTCTGGATCCATTTCAAAGTCTCGTGGTCTGAGAACACTTTGAAATGGCGACCCAAGAGGTAGTGTTTCCAATGATATAGTGCCTCTCACAAGGCATAGAGTTCTCGCATGTAAGTGGAGGCAGCTGCTTTGTGGTTGGGCATGCGTTTGTTGTAATATTCAAGCGGACGTAAGTCGTCACCATCATCTTGCTGCAACACTGCACCAATCCCGTACAAGCTTGAATCCGTAATTACTACGAATGTAAGTTTGGGATCTGCAATGCGGAGCACCGGATGACTCACCAAACCCTCCTTGAATGCTTGGAAGGTTGTTGTGCATTTCCCAGCCCATGTGTAAGACACATTCTTACTTGTCAACTTGGACAGCGGACGGGCGATCATAGAGAATTTGGGCACAAACTTACGGTAGTATGATGCAATACCAAGAAAAGAACGCAACTTACAGACATTTGTCGGTTGAGGCCAGTTGAGGATGACCTCAACTTTGGTTACCTCAGGCTCTAGGCCTGCAGCAAACAACCGATGTCCAAGGTAGATGACGCTATCCTTCCCAAACTCAAACCACGTCCTTGACGTAGTCCTCCGCCAACATGCGCTCTTTGTTGGCTAGGGTAGATGCTACCGGTCTACTCAGGCGCGACACCCGGTCTGTAGGCGCAGTCTCCTTAGCGCAGTCGCGACTTATGAAGTTCCATGTGGAGCTGATGTCTACGAAGGCACCGCACTTGCGGCCGCCTACACCAACTTCCACAACGAAGTGCTCCCCTCTAGGACCTCAACTTAGTGCCACCCAGGACTCACGAGGGTCCCTTGTCGACCGCTCACTTTGTAGGTCCTTAAGGTCTCAGACACATCCAACGAGTAGAGTATCGTTGGGTCAGGATGCGTTTTTTGGGGTGACTAAGGAGTCAATGGCTTCGGCCAACTCTTGAAGAGGGGAGGGTACATCACCCGCTTCAACATGAGTAGATGCAGCTACAACTTCTATTGGCCCTATGTGTTTCCGGAGCCTGAACTCGTAGAAGCCCCACTTTGGGAAGAAGGAATCCCACCCTTAGGTGGTATCTTATGTGAGACCTTTGCATTGTTGCATTTAAACTGTTGATGGCCATACTCGCCGGAGTTAATGCAAGCACCCCACGTATAATGGTTCCGCCGCACATCTTGATCTAAACCGGCTCGAACCCAAGCTGCTATCTTGTTAGGGTCGGGGTTTGCCCTTGACTCCTCTGTTGACCGCCCTTACCGTGGCCACATACCTTACCCTTTACCACTGCAGCGAGGTTGCTACCCTCAACACTATCCTTGCTGTCTAACTTTGTACCGTACACAAGGTCTGAGAAGTCCTCGATCTCGGTTCGAGTCCCATCGGCCTCAACCATCATCAATCGGCTCCCCTTCTCCTTCCACTCTTGTGGACTCTACTTCTTTCTTCCATCCATAGGGAGTTGCTGAGCACCTCCTAGCTTGGCCTCTAAATCTATAGCCTTCGTGCTAAAGGCCTCAAACATGTGCTACTCTAGCCAAGCCTCGCTGGCTAATAAGTTTGTGATGTCTGTGGGAAGACATCTCAAGAATATGGTCAATAAAACTTATGGATCATAGCATACCCCGGGGACGACCATCAAACGCTCTACGACAGAGGTTAGTTCGCGCACAGACTTGTACTTAGTATCAAGCCGGAGCAACCCATCAGTGGCAATCTGTGCCTGCTGGGGGTTGTGCCATCGTGCTTCCACCAAATCCATAAAGCTCTCTAGGGTACGAGTCTTAGCCCAGTCATTCATGTTCCTGCCGAATCCCTTTGAGGCGACTAATCTATTTAGCCAGCGAGCTGCCGATCCCTCCAGATAGGATGCAGCAGTTATCACTTCCTCCTCAACCAACGTCCTCTTTGCCCTTACCCACATTGACACCGTTCTCAACCACGTGTCGAGAGCCTCGTCCTTCTTGTCCCCTGTGAAGGTTGAAGGCGGTTTCAATGGGGTGTTGGGGTACCAAGGTTGTTGCTGTCCAGCTGGTGGGGCAGGTGCCGACTGTGATGTAGCTCCAGCCGGTGGAGTAGAAGAAGTAGAAGCAACAGTCCGTGCTGCGACTGCTGAAGTACCACTTCGTGTGGTACCAGACCGAGGCGGATACGGGCCTGTCATCGCCGAGAATGGCAGCAATGGCAAAACTGCTGGCCTGGCTCCTTGCCTGTGCATGGCATTCAGGATCTGGTCGAGGGTGTCCTGGATAGCGTCCAGTTTACTGTCCATGTATGCGTGCATGGACAGGATGCTCGCCTTGAGAATCTTTGTCGTGTTGTCAAGCGTCAAGTCATCTAACCCCTCTAATGCAGCTTGTCTGCCTCTCTTCCCTCAAGTCTGACACTTCTATTCCTAATCTCATTCTCCCTTTTAGTAGCTTCCTTAAAGTTCCTTCTCTAGCCTTAAGCGGATCCTCTCTACTTGCTGGAGCTCCATCTGCTCCCTGGTGCGTGGAGGCGACGAGATGAACTGCGAGCCTGCCATCTGACTAGTACCAGCTCCTGACGTACTGGAGATGGACTGCGAGCTGGTCTGCTGACCAGACGAGGTTGCTCCAGATGTTGTTGCAGGCTATTGCTACTGCGCTAGCTTCTGCTGCCGCTAACGTCCTCTCTACAGCTGCTGCTGCTCCCCTGGCAATCTCAAGATTATGGGCCCGTGCTTCGGCCCTTAGCCTACTTTCTTCTCCTGGTAGCAGGGCCTGGAACACTACAAGTACCCTAAGTGAATCACGCCTAGTTTGCCTTCGATCTTCAGCTGTACCTTCACCACCTTGTGATCCACTCATCGGCTAGGCAGGCGCTGTCTGCACTAGAGTTCACTCTGTAACCTACCACACCATGCGTCTGACCGGTTCTAAAAATAATAAATAATAATATCCGACAAGTAACGTAGGCTACCGTTCAAGCGGTATTGACATCATTCACACAGACCGGACACATAATCTAAGTCTACTTTGATTAGTTCTCTTACAGAAGCTTCGGGGAGAACTGGCTATGGTAGAACATTACAGTCCTACTCTAGGCTGTCTGTGAGGTGTCAGCAGTCAGCCAACCAACTAATAAAAATAAAAATAAACTATGTGGGCAGATGTATGCACAATGGGCATAGTTGTGTTTCCCAGTTGAGTCTCAATTGGAATCTTCCTCCACTGTATCCAATGTGCCTGCAGGCATCATCAAGCGGCAGTGTCTAAGGTGTGCATTAGCGGCCCACCCCTGTGCCCAAGGCATATGCATATGACAAGAACTGCGCGTTGTTTATCCCCGCGTGCAGCGAGCCTTTCGTCTGACTGATCTGGCTGATCAAGAGGCAGTTTAAGGACAACCCCCACGGTCCTCAGGAATGATTTAACGTCGCCATCAGGACGACGATCACAGCCAGTGGACAGTTCAGACCCCCGCCAGAAATATTTATAGATGGTCTTGATAGCGTCTGCGTAGGACTGGTCAGTCCGCACACCCCTTCTATCAGCGCAGCAAAGAGCCTCAAAAGACAAAGCAGCATGCCTGCGTGTATTACTCCCATGGGTTGGCATGGTGACCGTGACCCGTGCTTCGACCAGGGCCCTTCAGAGGTACCGCCCTCTCCTGCCAGATGCGCCACCGGGAAGAATGTCGTCTCCCAAGGTAGAGCGCTCACGACCTCACACAAAAGAGAGGACACTCAAGGTTGGGCTCACTTCCTGACGTTAAGAAGAGATTGAGAGGGTAGATAAGGTAAGGGAACAACGTACCTGAAGATAGCTGCCCCCAACCACAGATTTCTCACCAATTGAGCCAATGTGCATTTCGATGACCGGTCTAGTTTTCTTACCACCCACATCGCAATGCAGTGCCACCTCAGCCAAAATGCCACATCAGCATGCTCTCATCATCATATATACATCAGCTGTCGCCACAGCTCCCACGCTGTCGCCACAGCCTTCCAGCGGCCGACCCCTCTACCAGGGACCCGCTCAACAAGCCAGTGCCAATGTATCCTTACTGCACAGAAGCATCGTCAGGGCACCAAGTAACAATGTCGCCTGCACCAGGTAAGTGGCGATCTCGAACCAGCTTCGATACCAAATTGCAAGGAATATGAGTGGGAACGATATACAGAAAACCAAGTTGTGAAATCACACAGATGTCCAAGTAGTCGTACACAAGCAGAGAGCATAATTGCACCGAGATTCCATCCAAATAACAGCAATACAATGACGTCATGAGCCAATTTTCAAGCCCTCAGGCCACACCAACACAGTATCCAGTGTCGCTCCTCTCTGTCTGGCGCCCAGCGCCCAGCCTACACTACTTTCCTATCCTACCTACATCGGCATTCACGCAGCAGGCTCACTTCGACTTTGAAGACCAATGTACATGACGTCAACACCATAGCCGACCTCCCTCCCTCATGCACCAGGTACGTATCTCGTCTCCCCTCACCAGTCGCTGACCACCCAAACTCGCCTCCTTCCTGAAGACCACCGATCGCCCTCTTTACCCCCTAGCGCCCTGCAGCCCGGCTTTGGCTGCTTGCGCTCCGGTGCTCAGCAGCGCCTCTCTCACCTCTCAAGCCCCCATATGCGCCCTTGCATCAATGCAGCACGCAGCCTCTAACGCAGCAGCGTGACAGCATTGCCTGTGTGGGTCAGAATGCCAGACCCTAGCTGCCCCTTTCCCTATATGGAAGTGGCAGCCTCTGTGTGGCTGCGTGTGGCCTGGCTGGGAAGCTTCCAGTAGCTTCTGATCGGCCCTGGTCCCTGCGCTCACGCCCAGTGCTGCAGTTAAGGGCCTGGGCCCTTTACAGTTGGACACGGCCTGCGTTTCCAGACTTGGGCCGTTTGCTGCATTTGCACAGGACCCAGGGTATGTACGTCGACAATGCTGCTTTTGCGTAGGCCCGTAGCCATTTCGTGATGTATCTGTCATCCATCGTGTATGTGCCCAGACGCAACTGCCAAGGCCTGGGCCTAACTGTATGACGCAGCTTAGAAAGGCTCCATTCAACCGACTGCCGTGCTGCAACAGCGTGAGTACCCACGTATGAAAAAATGTCAAATTTCCGCCTCAAGTGAATATTCAGGGCCACCTTCACTCAGGACGGGAACTGGGTTTGCTGAGGGCCTTTGCACACGCTGAGGGCCTTTGCACAGAACATGTGCATGTCTGATAAGGGCCCTGCGAGGGCTTATTCCTCGCAGAATGCATTGAAAAGAAAAGGAGTTCCGGCAGCAAAGTACATGCATTCTTTTCCTTCTGGCTGATATGGGTAGTCTTACATCGTTTAGGGTCGGTGGAAAAATTTGAAGGTGTGATTTCCTGCGTTAGTCCCCGGGCGGCCCGGGTGGGGGAAGGTCGCCCGGGCAGGGTCCCAGGCGATCCCAGCATATTTAAAAAAAAAACGAAAATTTAGAAAAATAAAAAAATCCAAAAAAGAAAACTACGACATTGTTCAGAACATGTCTAAAACAATACCTTACCTTATCCCAAGAGGCTCGACTCTTGCGAGAGTCGACGAAGGCCTCTAGCGAGCCTCTGGAGGCTCGCCGCAGAGCTGGAAACAAATATAGGAAACACAGCATGGTATAGACAATTTAGAGTTAGGTTTCATAAGGATACATAAGCTCAAATTAGTTAAACGCAAGTCAACTTTGGAGAATGTTGTGTAAAATTCCAATACAAATGACTTTTGGCTGAGGGACACCTCAAAATTCTTTGTTAGTTTTAAGATAAAAATAACTGAAAAAACATCAGTCCAAATGTGCCCTTTTAGCCGCTTTAGTCACTGTTTATCCCCCCCAAATTCCTCTGGATGAACCATCACCAAAACCGAAGTTAAACCACCAGTACCTTTCCCAGCTATGTTTTCAGAGGCGTGAAGGGTAACGCTCTGGCCTGAAACGGAAGGCCGGCCGCCGGTAAATCGAATCGGTGGCCAGTCTTGATTTTCAGGCTGGCGCACAGTGCCCACGACCGACATATGGTAAAGGTACTGGTGGCCGAGCCTATTTTCGACAAGTCGTGGCCAGCACCCGAACTTTTAGGAGGCCAAGCCTGCCGTTGATAAATCTGATCGGCGGTCGTCGTTTCGTTTCGGCCTCCTGAAAGGTCGGAGGCCGAGTATTTTCGAACCGTCAAAGGTACTGGTGGTTTAAGACCGGATTCTGACTGCTTAGGCCAAGAATAGTCCTGGCCTGAAGTCTTCTTTTTTTGGGGGGGATCCTTGCCTCATTTTTTACCCGTCAGGCGACCCCCCCCCTGCCCAACTGCCCGGGCATGCCGGGCCGGGAGACGGCCCAACATAGGTGATTTCACTGAGTTGTTTTTCTTCGACCACCTGTCAGCAAGCAGAATGGGACTGAGTGGTATGTTTGTGGGAATTTAATATTTATTTATAGCATATGGGAAAAACTGCAGTTCTTTAAATTCGTTTCTGACATAAAAACTGTCATAGGTCCGCAGAAGGGTCTGTGAGGAACGAGCCCTCAAGGGGCCCTATCAGACATCACATTATGTGGGCTAAGGCCCCCAGCAAGCCAAGTGCCCGCCCTAAGTGAAGGCGGGCCTGAATAATCGTCAGGGGCAAAATTCGACATTTCCATGTGTGGGTATTCAGGCTCTCGCAGCACGCCAGTTGGTTGGGTAGACGCGTGAGCCTCACAAAGCTGCGTCGTACAGTTTGCCCAGGCCTTGACAGTTGCGTCTGGGCACATACACACAACGCAGGGCCGATACATTGGGAAGCAGGCCGTCGGCCTTGGCAAAAGCAGTACTGCCGACGCACCTGCCTGGGAGCCCTGCACAGATGCAGCAAACAGCCCAAGTCCGGAGACTCAGGCCGTGCCCAACTGTAAAGGGCCAGGCCCTCAACTGTAGTCTCGGGCCTGGGCGCAGGGTCTGAGGCCCAACCGGAAGCTACTGGAAGCCTCCAGCCAGGCCACACGCAGCATCCAGGATGCTGCCACTTCCACACAAGGAGGAAGGCAGCCCAGGCCAGGCATTCTGGCCAGTGCTGGCAATGCGGAAGTGCTGCTGCACTCTCTTTTGATGCTGCGCTGCCGCCGAAGGCACTGACGAGGCGTGAGGTGGTGAAGGAGGTGCGCTGCCGGGCAGCGGGGCGCAGGCGGCCATATGCGGGCTGTTGGGGGTCAGGGGGTATAGCGGGTGATCTGGTGGTCTTCAGGGAAGGAGGCGCAGAGTGGGGTTATCAAGGTCTGGTTGAGGGTGACGAGATACGTACCTGGTGCATGAAGAGAGGTCGACTATAATTGACAGTCATGTACATCGGTCTTCGAGAGTCGAAGTGAGCCTGTTGTGTGAACCAGCTGTAGGTAGGATAGTCGGGCAGAGTAGGTTGGGCG